GGCGCCTAGTGGTCTCGTGTTATGAACGAGCCAAGATGTTTTGGTCTGCCCAAATGTGCTGCGTAATTTATTGGTTCAACATAGTTCTATTGTTAGTGCACAATTTTGAGTAAACAGTACTACCTATATTGTAAACTGTGACACCATTATTGAATTTAGACCACACGTAGGTATGTTATATTTTTTATTATAAAGATTTGATTGTTCGTTTGTAATGGATAAACTCAAAAATTACTTCACCTATCGTAGCTATAATAAGTGAGTAACATAGGCTTATACATTATTGTTTATCTGCCCGCGCACAGGTAGGGCTAGGTCGTTAGTATATTATGATTATATGCTTATTGTATGCACAGGTTATATTAAAAGCATAATTAACTAGTATTTAAGTTAGAAATTGATCTTTTTCATGTTTTGTTATGAACTGTTTATAACAAAATGTATAGCAAAATGTATATTAATCGAGTGGAATTTGCCCACCACATGTCTTTATTTTGATATAATTTACCAAATAAGGTATCTACGCATATTTTTATCCTTATCTACATCTAGATATTTCCTTCATATCCACCATGCTAGTATATGATATAAATATAATAATATCAACTATGAGTCAGTAGTAGAACGAAAGGAATGTTCGATATTCACAGAAGACTGTATGGCGCGGTATCTATTCAATATAATAATATGAGTAATATATGTACTTGTGTATACATTTTTCTGAGCATATTGATATTGTATTCGTCTGTATATATTATAAATATCATAAGTGCATTTTTTTTAAGATGATGAAATGAGCTTGCACAGAAGATTCATTATTCATCATTATTTTGAAGCGTATAATATGATGTATTTCTCTGGAAATGTAGAAACAGGAAAAGTGTTCCACCATCCATCTTGGCAGTAACCACCAGGAATAATGATGTGAATCGCTTCGTGGGAAAGTGGAGAATTTTCACGTTATGTAAGGCTGGATAGAGCCTTAGTTATCATTGTATAGTTCGGTGGTAAATTAGAAGGAAGGATCATCAGAAGCATCGAATAGTTCTTGTGCGAACTCCTCTATCCTGTAAGACACTAATGAACAAGCAATTTTAAATCGATATTCTAGAGTCTAAAGTTTAATGAAGGAGTATGAATAGGTACAATGTATAGGTCATGGACTCCTCTCATTTCTAAGAAGTAGTAATAAGCGACTAAGGGAATAAAGCACCAGTGCTGGTACCTTCTCTGGAGAAGGAAAATTCGAAATAAAATCCTATATCATCAACCTAACCTGTATGGTAATTGAAGGTTACAGTTTTGATACAAAGAGAGACCAGTGCCCATCAGTGGGCATGTACAGGAGTTATTCAGGAAGTACATCATACATACTGTTACACACGATATATATTTTATTTTTGTAAAATATGGAGAAGGCATGAACAATATAGGAAAAATATTCGTTAAAATTTGCTATTTAAATACATTGATGTTGTGCGTTATTAATGTAATCTGAGAAATAACTTGACTTTATTCACTCAGTACATTCTTTAAAAACATTTCTGTAAAAGAATATAATGTAAGAAAAGAACAAAATGAAAAATAAGAATATAAGAAAAAAAAAAACTACTAAAAGTTAATAAAAGCATCTGTGGTATGCACTTGCGTTCTGTGGACGAACAATGAGTACAAATTGAAAATAACAAACTATTAGTAATTAGGGGATCATTTTATGAAATATCGTGGCATTCTCACAAGCTTCTATTTGGTACATGACGAGTCTAAAAATGTTGTGGATAAAGGTTCAGTAGGGCTGCTTCGATGGCAGGAGCGTAGGTAGCAGGCCTTCCGTCAATATAGCAGACAGCGGGACACTATTGTCACTGGGCCCTTTGTAACCGCTGACGCTGCGAAGCACTGACCAAAAATCATTAATTTTGTATCACAAAGCAAGAACCCACAAATCGAAACCCTGAAAAAAATTAGGTCCTATTCAGGACCGGTCACTGACACAGAGACGGTTGTGGCGTCGATATTTCGATTTGAGTTTTAATTATACGATTTTTATGTTGAATCGTTGTACAGACCGACAAAGGGCATAGTATAGGTTTGATATTAAAATTTTATGCATGGAGTATTACTAGTGGTTGCGTAATAATTATGAAAACGTGCCCTAAGAAATAGGCATTTAAAATGGACAAAGGAATTGTTAACGGGGCCGTATAAAATTTTCTTTATAAAGAAACTCTTTGTTTCGTATGTAAGTATGGGACACAAAGCACGTGTTTCGCGGTCAGTCCAGTGTTCAGTAACTAGTAAAACTATAAAACGAGTATAATGTGGCTTTTTGTTGTCGTCTTAAAATTCGAGACGATGGTGCCAGTAGCGTACCCGTAGACTAAACTCCATCGATACGTGCTGTTGTCGTGTAAATCACATGTTCTTTTGTGATTAATGTTAACGTTAAAGAATATAGATTCATATTTAGTGCAGCCGCGTCTACTCTAAATATCTACCCGTGACGAACCATACCGGATTAACTGGTGCAATAAAATACGTTAAAAAATAAAACTTTCAGCTTACTGTTTACAAATCGAGTCTATAATTATTTATTAAAATCCCCACATAAATTAAATATCATCCAGCTCGTGACGAATGCTTTTGGGGTTCCGTTATATTTTTAGATTTAAAGAACACTAAAGTTATACGAATTTATCTGTCACCTTGTATGTGTTTTTGATTTCAAAGTGTGTAGGTAATCTATAAAGATATGAAGGTCAATATTACAAGGACTTTATTTTTGTGCACATTGTTCTACGTATCTATCAACTTAGTACGTACGAAATTAGATTAGGTAACGATAACATTTTAGCTCTGTAGTGGATTCAGAAATTTATCTGTGACACAGAGTTTTACTTTCTATATTGTTTTGTTTCTAAGTAATGTCGTACTATAACAAAATACGTAAGTGTGTTATATTTTTTTTTCTGCAAGTTTTCATTAGTTAGGAATTAGTTAGATCGTCAGTATTTTCGACAGTGAGTAAGGTTGTTAAAGTTAATATAGACTTTATTCCGTTATTAACTTATATTAATAATGATTGTTTAACGTTTGTTCAAATGTATCTACGGAACCATAAAAGTTTACCTAGCTAAGTATAAAGACAGTCACACGACAGTTTTTATCATCAAAATATTTAAACAGACCATTCAACTATCAATAACATGTGGCGTAACAAATACGATTAAAACCTCTATACAGCAAGACTACAGATGTTGGGGCTAAATTAAAAAGCACGGTGGAGGGAAAAAAATGTTCATTGTGTTTGGCGAAATTCGCTTTATCCCGTAAACCGGAATCCGCGGCCCCTCTAAATAATGCTAATCATAATGGCATTATAGTCATTCGGCTCTCGAGTATCCCGGGACTGATCCCGGAATCCTGTGATTTTTTATACTTCGATTCCAATGATTTTCTCATTACAAAACACTAATCTAATCAGATCGACGGTTTTGGTGAGTTTCTAATGTGATTTGTTAATTAAATGCTCGAATGGTTTCTGCGAATGACGGTAGGTTAGGCAGGCATCGGTATAGAGATGTTCTGTTTTAATTACATTTACGAATCTTTTGCCAAAAACTGGCGACTTAATTTGCGCGACTGGAACATATTAATTGATTGAGACAAAAAGTAGCCTTTTAGTCTTTTTATATGCATGTATTCTAAATGGTTTCAGTGATCAGGTTAAGCCATAAAGCCACTAGAGTGGTAAAGAATAAACAGACAAACTGACACCTAACATTGATAATATTACCACTTGTGTTCGCGAATTTATGTGACTTGGATAGAAAGTAACTTATAATCCTTCTCACTGCAAAATAGTACTTATATACTAGATTTCATCATGATTGGTTATTAAGAAGTAATAATCAAATAAATATACGAGTTAATTTTCTCATTATAATTAGATTTAGGCAATGACTAGTAAGTATTTAGTACCTAAAGACTTATAAAGGTAAAAGTGATATAGTGCCGTACGTGCCATGACGATGTTTTTAACAAAATACTATGATATTTTTTATGTGTCTTCAAATAATATAATTTAGAAACCGCGAAATAATGCACATTTGGTCACAATATCCCGTGTTGTAAAGCACAATGCGAGCTTAATAGCGACTTTACAAAGTGCCACCATTAGCACAACTGATACACAATATTTTGACTTTTAGTACTACCAAATATGTATGGGTCTTTAGGGATGTCAGACCCATGAGACTGGAATGAATAGCGAGCCTACAAGATCGATTCGATTTATGCGTTTTTTGTGGTAACACAATAGACTCGATATATTGACAGATAATAGATTTTCGTACGCGAACAGTTGGCGGGAATTTACGTTGCAATGCGGTTAGTTATGGTGATCAATATCACATGTTCATCTCATCAAATTATATCTAATTTATTTATAGTAGAATTTGAAATTCTTGTTCTATGTTTGTTGTATTTTACTTTAATACAATAATAACTTTTTTTTTGTGATATGTTTACATAATTAGTACAATTTTCATCAAATGAAAAAAAAAGAAAAAGTCCTTGACATTGAATGTTGGGGTATTAAGTTACATATTTTTGCATTTATTTTACTAACTGGTAGAGTGTATTATTATTATCAATTAACATTAAACAACATAGGCTCCCCTTTCTTTCCCGTAAGTGCCCTAAGAGGCAACTAAGGGAATTTAATGATCGAAGGATGGAAGGCAGCGTAACCTTAACTGCGGTTGCCAATCCGCTTGCCAAGCATGGCAACTACCGGCAAACTCTCATAAGGAGGAGAGGTCTATATTCAGCAACCGACAGTTGACGGTTGATCATAATATGGTATAGTAAGTACTAATATAAGTATTTATGAGTATGTACTAAAAAAATGACTGGTTTTTATGATGATAAAATTAAAATAAATACAACATTTATCAGCGAGTATGATACAATAAAGAAATTATTTAGTATCTACTTACCAAATATCTATATTAGGTAATATTAATACGTGATTATTGTAAAGATTTATATGTTTTAGTCACTTGTCATATAATTTGAAGTTTACCATCTAGTGTCGAAAATTACACAGCACTATATCAAAGTCCAGAGTCCAGTCTTGAAATTGTTTGACACACTGATTTATGGTCTTCCTGCTAGTGTTGGAGGTGTTTTAGCACAATAAACTCCAGAAATCACAGATAAAACACTATTTTGTCTTTGAGAACTCAGTAGGTAAATAATCCTTCTAAATAAAATTAGAACTATTCACTAAACATGCATGAAAATTGTTCAGTATATAAAAAAAAAAAATATTTGTTATTTTTTTTATTATAAATAATGTTTGGTTAATACAACAGTTAATAGATGAATTTATAATTTGTGTACGATCACGAGCTGCTAACGTACTGCGTATTTAAGAAGCATTGAATATAAGTTGCTGAATTCAATTTCTCTTTATCAGCCTCACGCGATTTATTTCGTGCGTAGGATGTCCTCTAATCGTACCTACGTAATAATAAACTAATTAGTACCTACGACTTCGTTCGCATGATAGAGAACATTGAATGTACGTGATAAAAATTATCGGTAATAGTTTTCATGTATTTCTATAACGTGATTAAATAATGGAATATTATGTAAATACATGAAAGGTATTGTTAATGAAGATATATATATATATATATATATATATATATATATATATATATATATATATATATATATATATATATATATATATATCTGCGCCAAGCAAAGTAAAGGAGCTTTAACGGAAGGAACATTGCAGTCGTTATATAGTCAATTATAAAGTCGCAGTAGGTACGTAGGAAGCACGTGACATTTCAAAAGTGTTAAAAAATATAATAATTATTAGTATATATCAATTTCATATTTTAATATTTCTGTTTTATACACATTGTATTTTTCATTAACGATATCACCACTAAAAAGTTTGAGAACTTTAGCTGGAAGGAATCATATTCACTTCACTCATCACCGCGCTGAAGTGAGAGGATGCGTGTGTAATAAAAAGTCAATTTAACATTTTCAGCGGTTCGTCTAAATAGTGACCAAATTGTCTTGATCTATGAGACGTCAAGTTCTTTTTACTTCATGTTATGTAGATCGTTCAGCGCAATAGATCATGATACAGTGGTTGGTTTTGTAAGAATCGAGTGACGGCTCGGTAGAGCTATTGTGATTTACAACTTCCTCAGCGAACTGGTAGCACGTTAGCACCGCAGTTGATGGGACCAGAGTACTGAATACGTGATGATATGTGTATTTGGGTTTATAGTATGTTTTCTGTGTAATCTATAGCGGAGAACTTTAAACACAAGACGTAAAAGACGGGATATAAACCAATTCTAACCGAGTAGTAACTATCCATTAATAAAACTTCTCATACAAACGGTACGGTCAGATGTTGTATATATATATATATATATATATATATATGTTATGTTAAGACGATATGTTGTATATATATATATATATATATATATATATATATATATATATATATATATATATATATATATATATATATATATATAATAATTAGGGGATATTATAGGGATTATATGTATCACATCTCCCATATTTAGAACTAACAAAATTTTTCATCGTGCCTCCCACCAAATTGTTTATAATTACTCCTCTCCATCCAAAGGTTGCCTGGAAGAGATCGCTCTTAGCGATAAGGTCGCCCATTGTTTTCTCATTGTGATTATTTCTTGTAATTATTTATAATAAGTTTACTATTGTAATTTTTTGGAGGAAACAATAAAGAGTATCTAACTAACTTTTATTTTTTTATTTCAAAACATGTTCCTTGAGAATATTTCTTCAGTTGCAATTACTTCGGTTGTTATAATTGTATTCCTTTAGTATCAATTAAATGGAATTTATATATTTTGTAATTTCATCTATTTCTCTTATGTATTTTACCAATCTATTTTCGTCAGGTCTCATTACTAGTACGAGTACAGTTAAGGAATCAGGTGTCGAGCTCCTCTATTACATGATTCATGCGTACGCGCTGGTTTCGGAGATTCTTTTCTTAAATATATTATTTATAATATACTAGCAATATTAGGATTATAAAAATACTTACCGATTTAGTAGAAGCTAGAAGTGTCCGGGATCTACCTATTTCTATGCATCATACTTACATTATGGTGCGTCACCGATTAAAAGAACAGATTGTCGTTTATCAAAAAGGTGAATTCCTTTGATAAAGTGTTAAAGAGAAATTATGATCGAAACAGTCAGTGGCACCGGCGGAAGCGAGCACTCATCGCACCGTAGTGTTCTCGTTTAGATCAGTTAGTGTGCGGCACTCACGACAATTTTTGTTTTGTCGACGAGCCCGCCAATAAAGCCCTTTTCATGTTGCCCGCTTGCCTCCAGTGGAATGCGCATTTGTACATTCGCAACTACCATTTATTGCGGTGAATAAAACAGAGCGCTTACTGTTTGTCGCTTTGGATCTGAAACACATTTTTCGAGATTATGATGATAAATTCAAGATTTGGTTCCATAAAAACCTTGGGTTGCAGTTAACTAAAAGCAAACAACCCGGATGCGTTGTTATTTATTATGATACTTAGAATAACAAACAAGCTGATGGCCTACCCTATAAAAATTAGTAACTATAGACATAGACGCCACAAAATATATTGATTTTCATTATAATCTTTATGAATTTTCTTAGGAACGACAGTGTTATGTTTCATACCCTGTAATTTCACTCCCTACCAACCTTAATATCGATAATAATATTTTCGCTCACCTTATATTTAAACCAAGTTTCATTAAAAAAAGCATCTTATCTGCAGAAGTTAGTAGCAGGACCTTAACTTTGTTAGTTTTTACTTATTTTAATTTCCTTCAGTAATTATTAAAGTTAAGTAAATTTAGACTTATTTTTATTAAGACTTAGATTTAGACTTATTATTATTATATCAGCCGTTAACTGTTCACTGCTGAATAGGTCTTCCCCATATAGAGAGGAGACCTGCCCTTACCATCAGAGGGCGGGTCGCTGCCATCGGAGATGTGGTGAGTGCGAAATCGAACCCATATCTCCGACATATGGCACCTCGAGGGTATATCGTCTGGTTTTTGGTGGGCACACCCCCGCTTAACGGGGGGATTCCCACAGTACTCACCTCTACGTACGTACCTCACCAGTATTCACCTCCTAGTCTAGTTTTACCTCTTGTATATTAAATCTTTTAATGTATGTAATCTAAATTATGTACAATAAAAATTTTACAATACAATATACTATATTAATATTACATAACTGCTGCTTATAGTTATGAACTATAGATACTGTATGTCATAGAATACTTACTCACCTACGACATTATATATATATATATATATATATATATATATATATATATATATATATATATATATATATATATATATATATATATATAGACAACTACGGTACTTCTCAGTACTTTACCTCTCTTAAGAACTAAGGTGTAAAGCCTGTGTCAGAGATTGCAATGGCTATCTTATCATTTATACCGATAACTCAAGATTTACAGACAGATTACAAAATTCAAATTCAGCAGTAAATCTACCATTGATACCAGATGTTCATCACATGGTGAAAATGAGAATGAAAACTAGTTGGTAGTGTTTGATGGAATTTAGTTTTTCTATTAGTTTAGCCTAAAAGCGAAAACTATACTAAACAACTACCTCAAAAACGAAAGAATGTAAAGATCATGTTTTTAGTATTTTAAAATTTCTATTAATTATTATAATAACATACCATATATACATACCTACGCCTTTTCAACCACATACCTACTTTGAGAGGTCAATAAAGTTATAAATACTTGTTTAATTTGAAAATATATTTTTATAGCACTGAGCTAAACAAGCATACAGCCTACCTCATAGTAAGAGGTTACCGTAATTTTTGTAATTTTCGTAGATATATCTATTTTTTTTTAAATAATGTATAACCTATGTTACTTACTAATAATAGCTTTCTATAAGTGATAGTTTTTTTAAAATCCTTTGAGTAGTTTTTGAGTATTAAGAATAAACATAAAAAAATAAAATTTTCCTCTTTATAACATTACTATATACGAGTAGATATGAAAATTAAAAAGAAAAATCTAGATAGTCATTACAAAGCGGGCCAATAGTATCTTCATAGTGATATAACTACAACTGTAAAAATAAGAGGATTCTCAATTTGGTTGTATTTTTTTTAAGTTTGTTACCTCATAATTTCGACAGCTATAAACCGAGTTGGAAAATTATTTTTTATATTGTATAAAGGATATACAGATCAGTACTACAGAAAAGTTTATTAAAATCAATTCAGTAGTTTAGTTTTGAATTAAAATTAACAGATTTAGCACTTATTGAAGTTGGTGCTTTTTTGTGGAACACAGTCTTAAATTATGCGTAAAACAAAGGCAGTTTAGGAACTAAAGAACTATTGTCGTACGAGTAAATTATTGCGTCATAATATAAAATGTCTTGTAAACTTATGTTCCTTTATATATGAAGATAGGTAAAAAGTAATAGGTAAATTTTTCCCAGCGATAAGACTGTCTTTTGCACCTACCTAATGTATTTTTATCTTCTCCTTTTTTCTACGTTGTGAAATAAAGAATTAAACAAATAAATAGGTATTTATATGTATTTCTATAAATCTTGTATGTTAATTTTTATATAAGCACGTCTTTTGTGTACTTCTATCATACTCAGTTTCTATCTTGAACTAGGTGCGCTTAACACATAATTGTACACATTTTGAAGGGTGAAGTAAGGGAGTTAAACTATAGGGTATGGAGACAACGCCTGCGTTCTGGGGAGAATGGATTGATTACGAGATTAGGGGCCCCAATACTGGCGACATCCTACTTCAACGCAGATTCTTTTGAAAACCATCGTGGTTAATCCATCAAGAATTCGTCACTAATTAGCAAACATAGTGCAACAATCTGCGGCTGGTTAAACGGCGACGTTTACAAGGAGATTGGAAATAAATAGAAGCGTAGAGCTTAAGATCACTAATTATCTAGTGCAGTTCATTATTTCATATAAACTTAATAAGAATAAGGCTGTAAGTAATTACTGTAGTAATTATGAATGAGTTGTCATTCCTTAAGATTAAAGTACTATATGGTAATATCTTAGAATACCCAATAATATCATTGCCATGCCATGTCTTCAGACCTAAATACTGCTGAAAAAGCGAGCGAACAAGTGAGACAAATGCAAAAGACAATTTAAATAAGATTAGATTATCAATTTATATAGAACCCGCGGTCTTGATAAAAGCCTATTTTTATAAAAGTTTGACGTCAATATGCCAAGTCAAATATGTGCGTCAAGTAATACAAGTGGCTGTGAAGAAAAAACAAAGAAAGTATGGAGTTGCACTGCGTATATAGATAAATAGAGATAAGCTGTTATCTACATTATTGCATGCACGTAATCTTTTTCAGACGAAATTTAATCGTTACCTATTTGCTTTGTTATGACTCTATTTGGATTAAAATAAACAAAAACTTAGTCTAAATAAATTGTAATATTACATATAAAATAAGTAATTTGTTTCAAATAATTCAATATATATAGATTTTATATTTTTTTTTGTCTTGCGTATTGTATGCATTGTTAATTCGCAAAATATAGACACCACAAAACGGAAAACACCATGAAACGGGAATGTTCAATTATGATAAAAATAATAAGGTATTCATCATACGGGAGTAAACCCCACTGAATGTAAAAAAATATAAAAATTAGTTCCGAATTCAGAAGTTTTCTTTTTTAAAGTTATGTAAAAGTAATGATAGGTATCTATTGTTTATACTTTATTGTAGACGTAAATGAAAGTTTATGATTAATGCAAAACAAATAAAGTGAGCAGCGTCGTCTGATAAGATGTTGCGATTGCTTCTAATAGATATCAGTTAGTCGTGTTTTAGACACTCTTTGGGATAGTGTTATTTTTTGTTGCAACTTTCGAGTTCAAGCCGTTATGTGTCATTATTTCGAAAAAATACCAAATAGTGATTATTTAAATATAGTGACAGTTTAAAAAGTCAATTGAAATGATATTAATAGGATTTTTGGCTGTGTGGTATTTGATATATTCGAATGTTGGAGGAGTGTTACTGACAAACTCGTTGGAAGAGGTTCCGCAGGAATGCGAGTGGCAGAATTTTCTAGATGGTGCCGATGTGTCCACGCGTGTACAGTTGATTTGCTCGCTACGTATAGCTGCTGGCACTACGGATTTGCTTGATGGGCTTAGCATCCCTCAAGCGCAACAAATCACGTCACTTCATTTATATTGTACAGACGTTATTGAGAGATCTTCAGATGTTGGCCAAGGGAAAGAGGAAGGAACTGAAGTTTCGTCCCGTTTTCACAATTTAAAGGAATTGAGGATAGAGTCATGTAAGATACGACACGTCCTTCCAGCATCATTACTTCCGTTAAGCGGCCTAAGAAATCTCAGTATTCGAACTCATAATACTAACAGGTCTGAAATATCTTTGGAATTCTATACAGATACATTTCGAGAACTTACCGACTTGAGAACTTTGGATTTGGGGGATAATAATATTTGGAATTTACCTTCTGAAGTATTTTGTCCTTTGTATAACTTAATGGATCTCAACATAACGCAAAACCATTTACAAGGTATTTCAACTTTAGGATTTTCTGACTGGGGAAACGGACCAACTGCGCCTGGTAAATCTTGTAATGCTCTGTTGGAAATATTGGATTTGTCGTACAATGAAATTAGTTCATTGCCTGATCACGGCTTGTCAAGTTTACGTGCGTTACAAAAATTATTATTACAAAATAATAAATTGTCAGCTGTTGCAGAGAGAGCATTTGTTGGATTGAATAATTTGCAAATTCTCAACCTCTCTAGTAATGTATTGACTGTGCTTACATCTGAAATGTTCCAGTCTTCTAGGAATATTGAACAAATATACCTGAATAATAATTCGTTAAGTGTTCTTGCACCTACGCTTTTAGAGGGATTAGATCAACTTCAAGTATTAGATTTATCTGATAATAAATTAACAAGTGAATGGATTAATACAGATACTTTCTCAGGACTGATACGACTCATAGTATTGAATTTATCTCATAACAGAATAACAAAAATAGACGCATTATTATTCCAAGACTTGAATAACTTGCAATTTTTGAGCTTGGAATATAATCACATTTCACGCATTACAGAAGGGGCTTTCACCGATTTGAAAAATTTGCATTCTCTCTCATTGGCTCATAATAATATAATTGAAGTAGACAGTAGTTATTTCTCTAATTTATATGTACTAAACCAATTATTTCTTGATGGTAATAGAATAAAGAAAATAGACTTACTCGCTTTTGAAAATATTACAGACCTCCACGATTTGGACCTTAGTGAAAATCAGTTATCGGAAGTACCTGAAGCTATAAAATCATTACGATTTTTGAAATCTTTAAATTTAGACATGAACAGAATAACGAAAATAACAACTTCGCAATTCGAAGGATTAGAAAATTTATATAGTTTACGACTAGCTGGAAATAATATAGAAAAAATATCGAAAGATACATTTGGAGCCTTATCTTCACTACAATTTTTAAATTTAGGATCGAATAATTTATACCAGATAGATGATGATGCTTTTTCATCGAACTTACAACTAAAATCAATTGAATTAGATAATAATAATCTAATCGATTTGAAAGGAATATTTGCAAATCAGCAATTACTTGTTTGGTTAAATGTATCAAATAATGAGTTGCTGTGGTTTGATTACAGTCATATACCGTTCAATTTAGAATGGTTAGACATGCACGAAAATAAAATAGAGAAGCTTGAAGATATTTATGGTTTAAAAGAATCATGTAATTTAAAAATGCTTGATGTAAGTTATAATAAAATTAGGAGTATTGATAAATTTTCATTTCCAAGCGGTATAGAAACAGTGATATTGAATAACAACTACATAGAAAAAATAAATCCTGGGACATTTTTGCAGAAATATAATCTAAACAAAGTGATGCTATATTCAAATAAAATTAAAACTTTAGAAGATTATACTTTTGCAATATCAGATGTTCCGAAAGAGAAAGATTTGCCCGAGTTCTATGTTAGTGAAAATCCATTTGTGTGCGACTGCACAATGGAATGGCTGCAGAGAATTAACCAATTAAGTGATCTCAGACAGCGCCCAAGAGTTATGGATTTAGAAAGCATAAGGTGCTCTTTAACCCATTCAAGAACAAAATCTGATGTATTATTGCTCGAAGTTAAATCTTCAGAATTTTTATGCCGCTACGATTCGCATTGTTTCACCCTCTGCCATTGTTGTGACTTTGACGCCTGTGATTGTAAAATGACTTGTCCAGATAATTGCACGTGTTATCATGATCTCACCTGGAACTCCAACATAGTTGATTGTTCAAATGTCGGCTACGATCACGTACCAGATCGAATACCGATGGATGCGACCGAAATATACTTGGACGGAAATGATCTGAAAGAATTAGGAAATCACGTTTTTATTGGTAAGAAACGGTTACAAGTTTTGTATCTCAATAATAGCAACATTAATATAATAAAAAATAGAACATTTAATGGGTTAGAATCATTGAGAATACTTCATTTAGAAAACAATAACTTAAAAATACTAGAAAATTCACTATTTACTAAACTACAAAACTTGAACGAACTTTACTTACAGGAAAACAAAATAAAAAAAATAGAAAATGGCACATTTGACTTGCTCTCATTAGATAATTTGAACTTAGATAACAATGGTTATGTTGATTACATGCCGTGGAATGTCATTACCGACAACAATTCTCACACACGTATCTCTGTAGACGGGAACAGTTGGATATGCGAATGTAAAGATGTTGCTCAGTTGAATCAATGGTTAATAAAAAAGTCAAAGGATACCGAGACTATAATGTGCTATTTTGCTAATAGGCAGCAGACGCATAAGACTGTCGCGACCGTTACGACGGAATGTAAAAGAGAACTAGAAACCGAAATCTCAAAAGGTGTTAAATATTATATTCCATATATCACAACGGTTTCGGTAATAGTGATTATACTTCTGATGTGTTTTGTGCTGTGCATATTTAGACATTGTTTAAAATATTGGTTGAATTCAATATGCTGTGTATGTAGTGTCAATTCCAAAAGTGCGAATAATGACATTAATAATGATTCTTTTATATACAACTCGCAAGATGATCATTTTGTGACTGATCATGTTGGTGCGACATTGTCGAATCGAACGCTCAATAATGTAAATAGCATGAAAAGTAGTAATGGCTTGATTAGACACGGAAGTTTGATGACGTCAAGCTTAATGGGTTCAAAAAACGTGTATGCAGAAGTATTGGCTAGTAATTCTGAGGATGAGACTGATGCGAGTTGCATAGATCATCTTGACTATTCAATTCCGTATAATCATAGACATAATTCAATAGTAAGTCTTGAAAATGAAGAGTACCCATTAAAGACATTTCAACAAATTTCCATGTTCAATATTAAGCCTAATAATACGAGAAAGACTAGTTTTACGAAATGTATGTATGTATAAAATTTAAGATAAATAATAATTAAAAAAAACATGTCTTCGTAATTACCTAGTTTTGTCTACAACAATATACTGTAAATATAAAAAATTATATAATATAATATAATTTCTATTTAAGAAATATATATAAGGAATATTGTATATAAAGTTATATTAATAACGTGATTTTGATTAAAAAAAATATTGTGATGTCACTTATTTTGAAATTATGCAATATTGTACCAATATGTACCTAACATCAAAATTAACATAATGAAGTATATCTATGACATTAAAGTACTAATACTGACTGAATATAGACAGTTTTTAGTCAGTCTCAGACTCACTAAACTTAATCATGCCTTATGTTCCGTTAAATCTGCAAAAATAATTTTAACTGTTGGTAGGTGATGTAAACTTTAACAGTTTCTTCAATATTTTTGAGGATTCTAGTTTCATATTAATATTTCTTTCTAATAAAAAAAAATTGGACAAAGAATATAAAAATCCATTTGGAAAACTGTAATAATATGTTATTTATATTAATTACTAGCTGACTCGGCAAACGTTGTTTTAACATTTACATTATTTCTAGAACTATATATGAAAATCCATCGTACTACAATTATTATATTCAATTGCCATCTTGCAACCCTATTGTATGTATGTATGTATTTTTCAATGCTAAATCATATTAAAAATACAAAATATTGTTAAAAAATTTTAAAATAATTTTTAGGGGTGGGTCACCTTTATCATTGTGGGGTATAAAAAATAGATGTTGGCCGATTCTCAGACCTACCCAATATGCACACCAAATTTCATGAAAATCGGTAAAGCCGTTTCAGAGGAGTTTGGTAACAAACACCGTGACACGAGAATTTTATATATTAGATTAGTCTGAAGGAAATTAAATAATACTCTGTCTGTATACTTTAAAAGAGTATTTTTTTATTAGGGATGTAAACGACTAATTTGTGATAATGATATTTATTTATATCGAATACTTTCTTTTAAAATGAAAAAAATATTGTATATTTTATTATAATAAAATTTAAGTATAGACTTAGATATACTTGTATAAAATGTATTCGACAATATGTCGAAGGACTGAAAAGTGAAATGTACCCTAGTCAACTGGAAATATCATAAGTTTAAGTAATTATAATAGTAAACATATTTATGTGATATATTTTTTAGTTCTTGTTCTATAGGAATATGAATAAATCCTACAACTTTTTATTATGAGAAAAATCTTATAGTAATTATAAATTAATTTATCTGCAGCAGGTTCCATTCGCAGAAAATTCATATAAGGGCTGTTAAATTACGTATAAGGAAATGGTTTAAGTTGTGTAACTAAATAAAAAAAATGTATTATTATTGTTTTTTGTTAAAAAACCCACTTAAAATATAAATGAATTTCTAAAGAATTGATTCTTTTTATATTTAATACTTATATTTAATACTTTATTGTACACATTAGTTATAAAAATATGACAGAGGTAAACAAAAGTACAAAGGCGAGCTTAACTCTGATAGAGTTTTCTTCCAGCAAACCCAAAGTGGAAAGGAGCATCAATGTCAGCGGATACAGCAGTGTACAATTTTTAAATAGCCAAAATTAAATTAATTAGATTATATTATATAGTACAAATACACACATACATATACATAAATATATACCTACATCTATGCATAAACCTACATATACATACACATATACATACAATATACCTACACATATAGATAAATAAATATATGTTCATAGAGATAGAAGATGCTCTTTAAGTCTACTCTTAAAAATATTTAGGGATTGACTCTCACGGATAGATATGGGAAGAGAATTCCACAATCTAGCAGCATGGACGGTAAAAGATCCACTATAGCGCGTAGATGAGTGTGAAGGGAGTTTGAGGATAAGAGATTTCGTCGAACGGGAGGACACGTCATGGGGAACTAGAAAATCAAAACGTTCACGAAGATAGGAGGGAAAAGTAGGGTTATATAGAACGGAATATAAAAACGACATTATATGAAAGTCTCGACGCCTTCGAATTGGCAGCCAATTCAATTTTGTTCTATAAGCGGAGACATGATCATATTTACGCAGACCATATATGAAACGTATACACAAATTCTGTAATCTCTCTAATTTGTTTAAAAGCTCTTCAGTTGCATCAAGGTAGGATATGTCGGCATAATCAAGAAGAGATAACAGTAGAGCTTGTGCCAAAGTAAGCCTTGTCTTAAATGGTAAGAATTTTTGCAATCGTTTAAAAGAATGAAATGAAAAACATAGCTTTTTGCTGACCCCATTAATGTGTTCATTCCAGGATAAATTGCAATCAATTATAACACCTAGGTTTTTTGCTTTCTTAGCATATGCAATTAACTCATTTTCATAGTAAACAGGAGGCAAAGCATCATGATCAAGCATTTTATAATTACGATGACTACCTATAATGAGAGCTTGGGATTTTCGCGGGTTAACTAGAAGCCCAAAGGATCTAGCCCATTCCGATATTTTAAGCAGCTGAAAATTCATATCATCAATTGCTTCAGATATGTCGCAAGGATTAAAATGAAAATATAATTGCAAATCGTCTGCGTAGAGATGGTAGGAAGAAAAAATTACATGAGTTATAGCATTGATAAATGCAGAGAAAAGAAGAGGAGATAATACGCCGCCTTGAGGGACTCCTGCAGTAACCGCACACCAATCTGAGGTATCCTCACCATGGCGAACACACTGCAGTCGACCCCGAAGATAAGAGTTAAACCAATTGATTACAGGTGGAGATATGTTAAGGGATGAAAAGATATTTAAAAGAATATCATAATCTACAGAGTTAAAGGCACTGCTAAAGTCTAGGAGAACAAGGAGTGTGAGGGAGTGGTTGTCCATAGCCCGGCGTATGTCGTCAGTGACTTTGACAAGAGCACTGACTGTACTGTGACCAGGGCGGAAACCAGATTGCAAAGGACTTAGCAGATTATTACTAGACAGATAAACGGACAATTGTTTATGAACTATTTGCTCTAATAACTTTGACAAAGCGGGTAGAATCGAGATAGGTCTAAAATCAGTTAGAGTAGATGGATTAGATGTTTTAGGGACAGGAATAATGTAGGCTTTCTTCCAAAGTTCTGGAAAAGAACATGTATCAAGAGAAAAATTTATTATATGTGTAATAATTGATACAAGTTCATCCATAATAGGGTGCAACATTTGTGTGCCTACTCCGTCAGCACCCGTCGCTTTGGAAGAAATGGTAAGGAGGTGCCTCTTAACATCACACTCTGTAATCAAGCTGAAAGAGAAGGATTCGCACTCAGGCCTGGGCATTTTTGATAATTGATCTAAAGTAGTAAGTTTGACATTATCGTCAAGATGTGTGGGTAATTTACAGAAATGGTTATTAATATCATTAAGATTAAACGAAATAGAGGATTCATCATTAGCCTTACCAATCCCGAGTGACTTTAAGAATTTCCACATTTGATCAAGACTGCGACCATTCAAGGAGTTATATATGTAGCGACGTTTAGCATCCCTACACATTCTACTACAGCGATTGCGTAAATTTTTATAAGTAATTAAATTACATTCCGTCGGAGACCTCCTATACTTCCTCTTGGCTCTATCACGTTTAGCCATAAAAGTTTTTATTGTTTCATCTAACCAAGGAGCTGGAAGATGTTTAACCCTAATACGTCGTAGAGGAGCATGAACATCGTAGAGGTGAATTAGGATACTATTTAAGGCTGCAACTTTACCATCAATATCAGGGCAGTCTAAAACAGGGGACCAATCGATTTTCCTTGCATCGGAACTAAGTAGGTTCAAATCAATACCCTTGAAATTACGCAGGAAGAGAAATTTAGAATGACGTTTGGGCATACGTAGTTTATAGGAAACGAAAATCAGATCATGGTAGGAAAATGGGGAAGGTGTTTGTCCAAAGGTGTCCACATTATCGGGATTAGTGACAATAATAAGGTCAAGTAGGGATGGGGAGCTGTGTGGGGCATGGTGAGTAGCTGATAATTTTTATCATGTTAAATATTTTTTTTACTGAAATTGTAACTTTGTTTTTTTATTCATCTGTCATTTTGATATGACATTGTATGATTTTATTATCATAAATATGAAATGAGAATAGAATGTATGCAATTGTATGGAAATGCTATTAAATTTCCATACATGGAACTATATACAAAAATCGTTAATACGTTTTAGTCTTGCGAGAACATTCTATACTGTACTTAAGTTTTTGAAAATGATAAAATATAATTAAAGATTGTGTCGCACAAAAAGAAATCGTTTTCAATTATGATAAAACCTATTATTTTCATTTGAAAACTAAATTACTGAACCGATTTGGATAAAATTTTTATGGAACCAATGTGTAAGTACATCTTTTTCAGATAAAAAAGAATTTTCTAAATCAGTTTAGAATTAATAGAGTTATGAGGTAACAAACATAAAAAATACAACTGGACCTCCTTCTTTGTGAAGTCGGTTGAAAAATATATTTTTTTTTTATAATAATTTTTAACACGTATCGGCATATAACAATAGAATACTTATTATTATATATACTTAGGTAATTGCATTATTAGGACTATCAACTTCAGTCAATACACAATTCATTAGGTATCATTAATAAAACATTTTGTGTGTTAATTTTACAGTTAGACTAGCTGATTGTTAATAGAAATTACTTGACGATTACTAAGTAAAATGGCGTTAACAGTTATCTTAATTACTTATGACTGTATAATTTCTTGCTCTATGTTATGTCATTACTGAACTAATTTTATGAAGTTTGTAAATATTTATAAAGGCATATTTATATATTTATTTATCAATCTGGAGGGTGGGCCAGGTAAGTTGTTCCCACCCTATAATAAGATGCGGAGATGCGTTTTTTAAGTGGCCAGAGCTGGTAAATAATATTAAATACACCAATGAGAATAATAGAATTATTTATTTTGTCTTTATCAACAAATTATTGAAACCGAAAATACATGAAAAACTACATATCGATGTAGGTATAAAAATCGACTGTAATTAAAAAATCAGAATAAATCGTGACAAAATTAGTATATAACTATTCAGTACTGATCTTCTTTCCTATTATTGTCAATATCTACTTAAATTTATTTCATCTCTCCTTATTACTGATGACACGATAATAACGTACAAAACTGGTTTTTGAGTAATGTGCCATTACTACGAATAAATACGCTATTTACTGTAATTGTTAAAAAAATATTGCGATTCCAATGAACACAGCGCTGAATCATGAGGTGTTTCATAAAGACACTACATTGAAAATATGTATTTTAATATAAAATAATCGTGTATCTCAAAGTAAATTTTACTTGAAAATAGTGGCTTCATTTGGTATAAATTTAATATGCGATTAATACGGAGGTAAACTTTATTTATTGCAAAAGATTTATTGAAATCCGTTCAGAATTTGTGACAATCTCATAACATTGAATCCCCAAAAATGCGATCGAATTGAATATCTTTTCTTATTAGAATGCCTTTTAAAGTATATGTAAATAAAAGTGCAATAAAAGTATTTTTAATTTCGAATTCAATGTGCTACGGACTAAATATGAATACCTATTAGGATTTATTGTATTATTGTTTTATTGTATACCATTCTGAGTTGCGTAAACAAAGTAAGGAAAATAATCTATGAACATTTTAAAACTAAAATTTTTAGTGAGATTAGGGCTTCTTTTGGCATGATGTCATAAGTGAGTAATATAACAAGAAAAAAATGATAACGTTATCTCACGTGCGTCAAATGGCGCAGGTAAATACCTGTGAAAAAGCAAAGGAACTGGTGTTGCACATGATTAACAAAGTATTAGATTTGTAATTTATCAGTTTGAATGCACATCCGGATTTTTTTTATCATCGAGATAAGTTATCTTCATTACATTGAACTTAGTAATTTTTTAAGTGAAGTTTATTTCTTTACTTGTATTATTATGAATAAAATATATATTATAATACATCTTTTCATTCTTCTTACCATATGATTTATTAAAAGTTAGTTAAAAATAATTATAGATATTGGCCTATATTTATTCATTGTGATTATCGTTTTTCAATTATTTTTCTGTATGCCACAAGATTTTTCTTCTAAATAGATACATGTCACTAAATAATTACAAGTAAATACTTATTATTTAGGTACGAGTATGAATTCTAATAAAATCAAATTCTTTTATAAGTTGGTGATCTTCAAGTTTTATTATAAAACGTAGATACGTATTGTTCACACGCTTTTCATTATAGAAGCCATTGAAATTTTATGATTATGGCAAAACAAACAAAGTAAGCACCGCCATGTTTATAAAAGCTCGCAAAGCGCGCTCCTGTTCATGCCAATCTTGTGGCGAGCAACTTGTTGCCGTTGTGAACTTTTGTAAAGAAAGTGAGGTCTATATCGGATCTCTTTGTCAGGGGAGGAGCAACCGTGCGCGGGGAGCATGCCGCCGGCCGGTCGCTCAACTTACTTCGTTGTCTCTCAGTCAGTCGCTTCTCAGACGCTCCTTGGAGCGGTGTTTGCTTCGCCCCAACTTTTCGCGCTCGAGCCGTTATGTATCGTACATCGAAACAAGTTTGACGGGAAAATCGTGAAGTTTTCCGAGCGTGCCCGGATTGGTGTAGCGATGAACGCGATAAAAGCGAATCAAACAGTGACGATTTAAATACAGTGACAGTTCAAAAGTGAATTATTCGAGATGTTATCAATGGGATTTTTGGCTGTGTGGTACGCGGTGTGGTGCTGGATATACTCGGGTGCCGGCGGAGCGTCATTGACGAGCCGGGTGGCGGAGGCTCCGCAGGAGTGCGAGTGGCAGCGTGTCTCCGGTAGCGCCGGCGAGCCCACCCGCGTACAGCTGACTTGCTCACTACGGACAGCTGCCGGCGCTACTGATTTGCTTGCTGGGCTTAGCACGTCCCAAGCACAACGAATCACTTCACTTGACTTACATTGTACAGATGTTCTCTTCTTTGAAAGTTCTTTAGATGTCGGCAGAAGGAAAGAGGAAGGAACTGAACTCTTATCCCGTTTTCATAATCTAAAGGAATTGAGGATAGAGTCATGTAAGATACGATACGTCCCTTCAGCTGTACTATCGCCGCTAAGTGGTCTAAGAAGTCTCAGTATTCGGACTCATAATACTGATTGGTCTGCAATGTCTATGGAATTTCATAGAGACACATTCCGAGGACTTACCGATTTGAGAACTTTGGATTTGGGCGACAATAACATTTGGATTTTGCCATCCGAAATATTTTGTCCTTTATATAATTTAAAGGATCTAAACGTAACTCAGAATAGATTACAAGATATTTCTACATTAGGATTTTCCGATTGGGGTAATGGGCCAACTGCACCCGGAAAATCTTGCAATACCGTTTTGGAAACGTTGGATATGTCTTACAATGAAATTAGTTCACTACCTGATAACGGTTTGTCAAGTTTACGGGCATTACAAAAATTATTTTTACAAAATAACAGAATATCAACTGTAGCAGACAGAGCGTTTGTAGGACTGAATGATTTACAAATTCTCAACTTGTCTACTAATGCTTTGACTGCACTTCCGCCTGAAATGTTTCAATCTTCGAGAGATATAAAACAAATATATTTGAATAATAACTCGTTAAGTGTTCTTGCACCTACGCTTTTGGAGGGATTGGACCAACTACAAATATTGGATTTATCAGTCAATGAATTAACAAGTGAATGGATTAATAGAGACACATTCTCAGGATTGGTACGACTTATAGTACTAAATTTATCGCATAATAGGATAACAAAAATAGACGCATTATTATTTCAAGATTTGAATAACCTACAGTTTTTGAGTTTAGAATATAACCACGTATCACGCATAGCAGATGGAGCATTTTCTAATTTGAAAAATTTACATTCACTCTCATTGGCTCATAACAATATTATTGAAGTAGATAGCAGTCATTTCTCAAATTTATATGTATTAAACCAGTTATTCCTAGATGGTAATAGAATAACGAAAGTAGACTTACGCTCTTTTGAGAACATTACAAAGCTTCACGATTTGGGCCTTAGTGGAAACCAGTTATCGGAGGTACCGGAAGCCATAAAGACGTTAAGATTTTTGACATCCTTAGACTTAGGTATGAACAGAATAACAAAAGTAACAACTTCTCAATTTGAAGGGTTAGATGATTTATATGGCTTGCGACTTGTGGGAAATAAAATAGAAAAAATATCTAAAGACACATTTGCGGCTTTACCTTCACTTCAAATATTAAATTTAGCATCCAATAATATAGATCAGATAGATGATGGTGCTTTTTCTTCAAATCAACAATTAAAAGCTATTGGGTTAGATGGAAATAAGCTTGTTGATTTAAAAGGAATATTTACAAACCAGCAACCACTTGTTTGGTTAAATGTGTCAAATAATGAATTGCTGTGGTTTGATTATAGTCATATACCGGTTAATTTAGAATGGCTGGATATGCACGAAAACAAAATAGAGAAGCTTGAAGATACTTATGGCTTAAAAGAATCATGTAATTTAAAAATGCTGGATGTAAGTTATAATAAAATTAAAAGTATTGACGAATTTTCATTTCCAAGCAGTATTGAAACAATAGTATTGAATAACAATTATGTAGAAAAAATAAATCCTGGGACATTTTTACAAAAATATAATCTAAACAAAGTGATGTTATATTCAAATAAGATTAAAACTTTAGAGGCCGGTACTTTTGCGATATCAGCCGTTCCGGAGGAGAAAGATTTACCCGAGTTCTATGTCAGCGAAAATCCATTTGTGTGCGACTGCACAATGGAATGGCTGCAGAGAATTAACCAATTAAGTGACCTCAGACAGCGCCCGAGAGTAATGGATTTAGAAAGCGTAAGGTGCTCTTTAACCCATTCAAGAACAAAATCAGATGTTTTATTGCTTGAAGTTAAATCTTCAGAATTTTTATGCCGCTACGATTCGCATTGTTTCACCCTCTGCCATTGTTGTGACTTTGACGCCTGTGATTGTAAGATGACTTGTCCAGATAATTGCTCGTGTTATCATGATCTCACCTGGAACTCCAACGTAGTTGATTGTTCAAATGCCGGCTACGATCACGTACCGGACCGAATACCGATGGATGCGACCGAAATATACTTGGACGGAAATGATCTGAAAGAATTAGGAAATCACGTTTTTATTGGTAAAAAACGGTTACAAGTTTTGTATCTCAATAACAGCAATATCAATACAATACAAAATAGAACATTTAACGGGATTGAATCATTGAGAATTCTCCATTTAGAAAACAACAACTTAGAAGTACTAAGGAATACACAATTTACTAAACTACAAAACTTGATCGAACTATATTTACGAGAAAACAAAATAAAAGTTATAGAAAATGATACTTTTAATTATCTGCCCTCATTGGAATACTTGGATCTTGACAACAATGGTTATGTTGATTACATGCCGTGGAGAGTCATTACAGACAACAATCCTCGTACTCGTGTCTCTGTAGACGGAAACAACTGGATATGCGATTGTAAAGACGTTGCTCAGTTGAATCAATGGCTAATAAAAAAATCAAAAGATACCGAGACCATGATGTGCTACTTTGCTCACGGGCAGCCGATGAATAAAACTATCACGACCGTAGCGAAGGAATGTAAAACAGAGCCCACTACCGAAGAAACAGGGACCGAAACTTTAAAACGATTATTCATCGAATCGAATGACGGTGTCGAAAATTACATTCCATATATTGCGGCGGTGTTGATAATAGCAATTATACTTCTTCTGATGTGTGCTTTGCTGTTCATGTTCAGAGAAGATTTTAAATTATGGATGCATTCAAAATATGGTGTTAGAGTATTCAGTTCCACTTCAAAAGATATGAACGATAATAAAAATAAACGTTTTGATGCATTTTTTGTGTACAACTCACGGGACGAAGATTTTGTGACTCGCGCCGTCAGTTCAGAGTTAGAAAATTTGGGGCATTCATTATGTTTACAACATAGAGATATGCAGTTGATTGAAGGGCGTTCTGGTGATAGTTTGGTGAGTGCCGCAGAAAGTTCGAAAAGACTAGTGATAGTGTTATCAATAAACTTCTTACAACATGAGTGGTATGTGCCAGAATCTAAAGCGGCTGTTCAAAGTGCTATTAACTCAGTGAATGTTAGACATAGGCGACAAAAAATTATATTCCTTGTTACTACAGACTTAAGTGCCATAAATATAGATCCAGACTTAAAAGTGTTACTTAAAACGTGTACAGTGATTGTGTGGGGTGAGAGAAATTGTTGGGAGAAGCTAAATTTTCGGTTACCGGATGTGGACGTGACATTACCGAATCGGACGCTTCACAATGCGAATAATATGAAAACGGGTAATAGAGAGGGCTTCAGTAGACACGGGAATTTGAGATATACGGCACCACCGACATCTCATGATCCTTGGTATAAATACGGGATGGCACCACCTATTTTGATGATGTCAAGCCCCATGCATTCGACCAGTGCGAGTGCAGAAGTATCGGCTAGGAGTACTGAGGATGAGACATGTTCAGTCGCGAGTAGCGAGGGTCGCCCTGATGATCGCCTTCCGCATCATCATAGCTATGTTTCTATTGACAATCATCAATGTGAAGAGCGTCCACTAAGGCCGCCGCAACAAATTCCCATGTCTAATACTAGACCTAATAATATGAGAAAGACTTACTTTGTATAAAACAGAATCTAATAAATATGTGATCTATATGTTTTATTGTAAATCGGAATGTAATTATAGAATGTAAGGTAAATTATAACAAAAAATATAGAACTTCAAACGAACGCTTTTATTATTAGTTGGTGCTGTATTATATAAATGAAAAAAATTATTATTAGCGTTCACATTATAAATATAACAAGTACCCAATTATTGTTTTTTGAAACAGTACTATAAGTACCTATTAGTGTAAAGAATTTATATTTAAGTACTTTTGTCTATGGCATTTATTGTACCTGTCTTCTGTTATCAACAACTGCTTATAAATTGTAAATAATTTCGTGTACATTCCTTCCTTTACATACGAGTATGATTGAAAAGTCGAAAATACATTTTTATTTCACCGATGTACTGAAGTTCCTGATTGAAGTTGAATATGGAGTATATTATGACTAATTTGTGATAATTTAGGTACTTATGTCAAAAACTATGCTTTGAAGTGAGAGAAAGAGTAAACTTTAGATGTATATATTTGTATAAAATGTAAAATATTGTTGAAGAACTGAAATGTACCCTAGTCAATTGTAAATATCATAAATTTAAGTATAGCAGTAAACATAATTTTGTGATGTAATTTTTAGCTAGAACATGAACAAATTCGTATTTATTACGCTTCCAAGAGTATGAATAAATTAATATTTTTGTCTACTATACCGTTTTTTATTATCAGAGAGATATTAAGATATCCTATTGCTGAAAATTATACAGACGCAAGTAAAGTCTATAAAAATATAATGAATCCAAAGTTAGAAGTCGTTTTGCATTTAATGTAATGAATTCATAATTTAATATAATATAATATATTATATAATTTAATATATTACTTTTTTTAATAATTTATTATTGTCGAGAAAAATACTGATTTATATTTTCATAAGTATATGATCATACCGAAACTGACAGAAGTAAACTAACTGCTAAACAAATAACCATTGAAGTGGGTTCACAAACTGTGAAGATAAAACGTGACATATAATAAAAAATACAGAAACATCGAAAAAAATCTTTTTTCAAATGCTAAAAATATAAACATGTATTTGTTAGAATGTTTGTTCATTAAAATATCATATCTAGGATCAGAGCAGGTGATTGAAAAGGAGCAAGCGTTAAGTTTTTCATTGACATAATCAATTTACCGAATCGCATTGTTCACCCATCCCCCGTCGAATGTATAAATATTTATTTTATCTAAATTGATCGACTTGGATAAGATCACGCTGGAGCGCGGTGTATACGATATTAATTTAAAAAGCGTCCGCGACAGTGCGCGCGCGCCGATTGCCCGCTGCGAAACTATAAATCATCTTCTGACCGGACCGGGAATGAATAAACAGCATTTTAATTGACTTCTGATTGCACTCCTAATGTCTCTTCTTTTTTTAAATACTCGTAGACTTGCATGTAAGAGACGCAATGGTTTTCTGTAAAGTTGTAAGTTTTTTACGGGCTTAACAATTCTGATATATAATTTTATTGTATTGGTATACCTAATTTTTTATTTGACAAGCAGAAGGAATGAGTGCTAAGGGCTTATCAGTACATACGTCTTTTTATTTAGTTCATTTTCATAACTATAGTTTCATGCATATAAGCCGGTTCTGAGTATCTGACTTAGATAGATCATAGTCTATTCTCTATCTGATTATGATAAGTTAGTCTAGGTTTTCCGTTATCTGTAATTTTGTATCCATCCAATATTTCTTTATTTATTCATATAATCTGTTTCTGGAAATACTTCATATTATTAGTATTAAAAAACCTATTTAGCTTTTTTATTACATTTACATTAATCAATTTACACATAAACATTTTTAGTCCAACTATTTGTTTATTTTAGACGCTCTTATATTTAAATACAAAAAGGCATGCTTACTAAATATGCAAAATATAAAAGAAATTAATGTGTTTCGTCATTCTTTCATCGGTCATATTGTTTGTTTTTAGTTAACGTTGAAATTCAAATATTTATTCTTTTTCAATTTATACAGTATTACAAATTATTTACTTAAGGATATTTAATGTATTTATTGTGGAGACTAATGGCTGAATTAGGAAAACGTGGGCCACAGCTACCAGGCTACCACCCTCAGACAATTTGTAACAATACAAGTAAATAATATTCCAGAAATAAAGTACCTAACAATAACTATTTTTTTTATAATTTTAAATAATCATTCGATTAATCATTATTAAATCATAAAGTACAAAAGTGGGTTTGTGTTACATTACATATATTAAAATGTAAGTAACAGATTTTTTTTTAAATAATATGTATCATACTAAGAATACTTACACATAACGTACATACGTCTTACGTATCTTTGATAAGATATCTGCCAGTCAAATATATCTTGCAAATATAGTTGTACAAATATTAACTCTAAAACTCACGTCATATTATTCAGAACATAATACATTTTAACATTCATTGTTCTGTTAAAATTTATTTAAAAACTTATTTAATATATATTCGTTAATTATACTACAGATAACATAATATTATACCTTGAACAGTTAAAATGTTTAAATAAAGGGAGCATCCCTTCAGGTAAGGTCTTAAGAATTTGTAAAAGACAAAAATAATGATACAAATTTATTCATTTGATAAGATGAGAATTTCTTTTGTTGAAATCGGCTCAAATAATGTTGTATATTTAACAACACCTACTTTTAGATGCCCTTGTATACCATAACAATAAATATTGTGATACAGATTAATGGATAGACAATCACGAGTAAGATTGGCAGGTGTTTATTACTTTTACCAAAATGTCAAATATTTTTTATCCAAATCGATGCAATTTCCTTCACTTTTATCCAATCTAAAACTTGTATAAATTTTCACTACATTATGGCATGTATCTACTTACCACAAAGCAAATGACAAAAAGAAGTCGTTCCCTACGGTTGCAGATCTCGTTTTACAAATGTCTAAAAAAATAATGCAAATTACTCGAAGTACGTTTCACTTTTTTTCAAATATTTCTCAAAGAATCTCATAATAAAGTTCATTATAATGTTCAGATGGTTGGTAGTGTGGTGGTCTAGGCCGTTGCTGGCTTTCTATAATATGGTTGAACAAATGATGACTGGTTCATCCGTCATATTCGTGAACGGGTGCTAGGTTATAGCTAGGCATTGGTCTGTTTAGGAATACTGTGATTGATGGTAGGTTTTATATTCTTTTTTTTTATCAATATTAAGTTTGTGATGGACATTTAATTCATTCACATTTTTTTTGTAAATTTAACTTTTATTTGAGAAAAGTATGAGCTGTGTTTATTGCCCGTTCTTCTAGCTGAAATTGTATTCCGAACTGGAAGGTAAATCCACAAAAAAAATTACTATTTCAAAATGCTCATAATTAATTTTAGTTGAATAAAACATTTTGATTTATTTATTTCTTCAAAATTTTGCAAAAAGGAAAAAGTTTACTCAAAATTGCAAAAAATTTATCATCTGTCAATCGCAAAAGTCACTGCTGGCCACATTGATGTTTTAAGAAAGAGAAAGAGAGAAATATTGATTAATGCTTCGCCCAAATTACATAAATTAATATAAACTATACTATACTCGTACAGAGAGTTATCATCTTTTTCTTCAATTACTTATCAATTTAATAAGTGTCTTTGAATTATTTGAACTTGTTCTATAATGTACAATTTAATTGTATCATAATGTAACACTTAACATAATAATCTAATGTAAAACAACACCAGAATCTAATATTACATCTATTACTCTTATTCTGAATACAGATCTGAATCTATCGCATAGATACGATAGATTTGTTATCGTTATCGAATGTGATGATGACAGCAAACAACTCAATCAATATGTTTCAAGAAATACTATCTGGCTGAAGTCGATTATTGAGTACATTTCTTTACTAGGATCTAAATTGTGGCTATCAGATGGCCCATGTCTCTGGTACAGGGGTCATCTATTTGCGCCAACATAGTCCAAAGCCGAACACTCATCACCTTTTTTCCTCGTGCAATACGATACCCGATCGTTTATTGTCGTCAAGCTATTTGAAACCCGTTCTAAATGGATTTGAAACATCTCGAACTTAGATGGGAAATAACCAAAGTCGAGGTGACAATTGATTATGTGCCTCGCTGAGACAAAAAGCGGAATCGCTCGATTAGTTATGTCGTTGAAGCGCGTAGGTAGAGTGGAAACAATAGATCGGTTCTGGTTTATGATTCTATAAACGTTTATGTCCCAATAAACGGCCTTTTAGCTTTTGGTGGAGTAGATATAGTGATGTTATCGGTCCCAGGACAGGTTTATTATAGAAGTGTTGATGGCAGCGCTTATGAAAATGCTGTAATAAAAATTATGTTTAAAAAGCTTTGCAATAAAGTGTGTTGGTATTTGTATTTAGTTACAGCGAATAGATCGTGCTTACGAATATGTTTCGACTGGTCGTTCTAAATAAACAATGGGTGATTGGTCTGTTATAATGATCGTAGAGTCATAAGCGTGATTGCCCTTAGCTATACATAATCGTTAATGTTCAAAATATAGCCTAATGAAATGTTTAAATAATCATCGATAATTTTGCGTAGGACGCGGCCGTTTGGGATGTCCTAATAAAATGTATATATATAGCTTTATTTGTATTAATAAATATATATTTACATAGAAGATTGGAATGAGCAGTAAATACATTAATATTAATTGTTCTTTAGATACGGAAAAATAAATATTAGGTTTTAGTTGTCACAACAATACATTTAGTTGTATAAACAAATCATTACAACTAATGGTTAAAGACGTAGTACATTATACTAAGTTTATAGGTTAAAGTAATAACTGACAAATGCCTTTAACTACTACACAAGGGATCACAGATTATATTTACTCTTATGATTTTTTTATTTATTTGTTTAGGTAATCAAGCTTATTACAATATAATTATGGGTTATTGAAATTTTACATAGATTACAAAGCCAATAATAGATTACTCCGCGAGTATATTAATGCGTTGTGAACAACATAGTATTTGTAGTAATTTATAATTAATAAGTGTATTCTCTGACTCGACTTTAGGTCTTAACTGTAGTAGATATCAGGTAAAATATATTGTCTGAAATATAAATATTTAAATGGTTTACTTTTGTATTGTGGAAACATATAAAAGTATAATTTCTATACACTGTTACAGACTATATATACTATATATATATATATATATATATATATATATATATATATATATATATATCTCGGGCATTTATAAACATTCTTTTTTTAAATATAATAATATTATTCGTTTCGGCCAGTAGTAAAAGTTCGGTCTGAGGTACGAGTACCTACATCTTAGTGCAGTTTGGAGAAACTGGACAATGATCTGTAACTGGCGTGTACATAATTTAAAAGAAGTTTCTTTTGTTTACACCAGCTACATAATTTGCAAATTACAGTGATCGTCATTATAGTCAGTCTTTGTGTGCAAACTTTAAAATAAAAAAAAAAGTCCCAGACTAAGCAGTGCGGTTTCTAGCGCCAATATACACAGTGCTGTCTCCTTTTAAATTAAATAGGGTTAATAATAGTTTTAATTTTAATAGACTGCAGTACATGTACTTATATTTTTTTTGTACTTGTATGCAAGTACAATACATAGAAGAAGAATTCTGATG